GTGTGTGTGCGCGCGCCTGTGCCGGGGGGAGGGGAGGGAGGACCCCTCCCCCACCAATGAATGAATGAATGAATGAATGAATCAATCAATGAACCAATCAATCAATCAATCAATCAAACCATCAATCGATCAATCAATAAAAAAACAATCAATCAATCAAATTTTTTTTTTTTTAATTTTTCAATTTTTTTTGTCACTCACCCACCCCCCACCCCCCAAATTTTCAAATTTTTCTTTTTCTTTTTTGTACAGGGTGGTAGTGGCCGACGTGTGCAGGCGGAGCGCGCGCGCCGTTTTTCTGCTCGCGCCCCCGCCTGGCCCTGGCGTTGCCGCACGTAAACTCGGCTGCGCGGCCTCGGCCGTGGGCCCGTGGCCGGCCTCCTCGGCCGCTGCCGAGGGGGACACATAAGTCCTCTATGCGCTCCAGAAATTAGAAAGCAGATGGGGACTGTCTAGCCATGGCGTGACAGAGATAGTGGTGACGTGAGTGGGTCGTTTGGGAGGAATAGGAGTGCCAGTGCTGCTGTACTTGTGGGCTGACTCGGGCTCTCCAAGTTTTTTTGGACTATTGCTGGATCTGGTCTGTGCGTTCTCGCTGCTGGAGCCTTCTGTGTTAGGTATGTTGCCTTTTGCCCTTGACCTTTGTTTGTATTGATTAAAAAAACTGAATGTATTTGTGCAAGCGTGCCGCTTTGGCGCAGACGGGTGTGTGGGCACTTCCCACTCAACCACACAAAGGTGGGGAACCTTGCACCTTCTATTATATTGCTCATGTATACTTTTCTGAAGCTTTTTTGTTAAACTTTATGGATGGTGTGTGATGGTATGTGGATTGAATGGAAGATAGAGTTTGGGGATGTTGGCTAATACACACACAGATTCTGAGACAAGCTATGAATTTCAAAGGAGAGAGTGCGAATTGAGAGGAATACAAGAAGGCAAGGGACGGAGTTGACGGTGATGATTCAGAGGAAGAAAGCCCCCATGTCATCCTCTGAGTCGCATTCAGCGCACGTTCGGCGCCGGCGTTTTTTTTTCAATGCTTGCCAGGGGATTCATACTTGTCAGTATCCTTCTTCTGAGATTTGCTGCCAGGGATTCTTTGTCCCAGACGGTTGGTAGCAACCTCACTAAGCTCAAGATGACTACTGGTAGGAGGCAGGGACATCATGATAGGAATGGAGAATCGTCTTCGGACGGGGTGGGGGATGCAAAGAGCGATGTCCAACGAATGACAGCCATGTACTCAGAGACTCCCTGCATGGAAGTGCTGAAAGTAGAACTGCTGACCGACCTGGGTGATATCCTTGCGGGTGGTCACCAGAGTTCTTCTCCAGCTAGCAAGCCTCCAGAAATTTCGGATATCGCTCTGGCCAACGCTGGGCGAACACTATACTTTTCTGAAATTGCCACTACATCTAGGCGGTGGCTGAGCGTAGTTCATGATTTCGTTTCTTGCATGGCGAGGACCGCGAAACAATCATCATTCTCTGGAGGCTACTCCGTCTCGCATGTCGCTGGGCCATGGCATGACTGGTCGTGGGACGGAAAGCATGACCTTACGAGGGTGACTGGTCTGTTGGTGTTAGATAACAGCACGCTAATTGTTACTGATTACGACAATAATCTTCTTCGCAAGGTGAATGTCAATACAGGGGAAGAGGAAACATTCATCCAGTTCATCCAGTTAAAAGGTCCTCCTCTTCGACTGGCCAAGCATCCAACCCAACCTCGGCTCTTCATATCTACTCCTGCGGGAATTAGCATGGTCTTTCTGGATTGGCCAATGCCATCGACGGATCGGGTAGTAGCAGATCTGACTTTCGGCATACCGGATGATTGCAGACACAGAGACTTTATGGTTATGGGAGATTTAGGAGTTGGATTTAGAAGTCCACAGATTTTGGCTAGAGCCATTTCTGCTGATGGAAACAGCTTGTATTTTGCAGATCCCGTGTACCATGTAGTTCGCAGAGCGAATACTGTGACAGGGGTGACAACCACCATAGCCAGCACCTCAAGTCCCAATGGAAAGGTTGTTGACGGTTCACCCTCACGGGCACGATTCAACAGTCCTACGTCTGTTGCTCTCACATCAGACAGTTGCAATCTTTTTGTCGTTGAGCTAGGAGGTCGAACAATCCGATGGCTGAGATTCGACGAGCCGGATGGGGATGTTGTTGAGGTGCAGATGATTGCCACACTAAACCACAACAGCACAATTACCGCACCATTTGAGAGTGTCATTCTTTCAGATGATGACAAGTACTTGTATGCAGGCACCGACTATGGGCAGATCTTCAAGCTGGAGCCGAACCCTGCATCCCTCCATAATTGCAGCCGTCATCCACACTCGGGAGATTTCTCTTGGTCTTCGGACCCACTCAGCTTCTTCAAGTTGTCCTGCTAGTATGCTTTCCACGTTTCTAAGGCTATTTTTAGCACGTCCAGAAGAACCGTGGTTGGCCATCTTGCTGTAGCTTGGAGGAGCAGGTTCTCCTTTGAGAGCAGACTGTTAATCCCCTTAAGGAAACAAGAGCAATCTATGCTGGTGAAATCAGTCTTGCAAATTCACACTCAAACATGCATGC